CCCATGCTTACGTAAACATTTTGCAATTAATGTAAAAAAATAAAAATACTACCTATGACGTAATCATCATCCAGATTCCCCTGCCCCCCATGTCAACCCAAAATAAGCAAATCAACAACCCCCCGCCCCCTATAGTGCTTACGTAATACTTGAACGGCCCCCTACACAAGCAAATAATTATTATGCTAAAATAAAATAAAATTTGTTAACTATTATGTTGGTTATCAAACTTTCGTTTTGAGAATATTTTCTTTATGAGAAGTAATGTGATATGACATGAGGAATTACAGGCCAATTAAGTCACTAAATATTTTTCTTTCGAGTTTTCGGATCTTGTTTGTTGATATTAGGGCGTTGGATAACTTATTTGGGTGTTGTTCAAGTCTGCATTAATCACGTGCTCGATTTTCAAAGATTTTGGATCCCTCCTTCATGCTTGGTGATACGTTGTGATATTTAGAATTAATCTCCCTTTCCCCCACCAAACATCACATGTATTTTAGTAACGTAAAATTTTACGAACAAATTTTTGGAATTTACAATTTTTTTTTAAAAAAATTTATGTAAAAAATAAATGCACATTATATCTTACTAGATCCTTCTCTCCCCGAAGTGATTTTTCGTGATTTTTTGTAAACACGCCTACCCCCCCCCCTGCCCCTAAAAGCCTCTCGTGATTACAGGACGCCCCCTAATTTCCTCTCCTACTGTGTAAATATTTGCATCAACTATTTATCTCGTCCCTTTGCTCTCGTCTTCTGTCTCCTTCGGCATAGATGCGGTCCTGCGTACTGGATGCTGTATACTGGATACTGGTACGGGACAACGGGTACGCGCATGCGAATGCGAATGCGATCTCATTATCACCCTCTGCTTTGTTACTGGTTTTGAGATCGCGGCAACTGGTATCATTGCAAAACAGTGAGTGACTGACTTCAACTTCCGTGTCAGGCGAACAAACAACTTGCTAGGTTAACACCACGACGCATAGCCGGCCGGCCACAGTTATAATAATTATACTCGCTTGTTTTCTCCTTGACATTGATGATAATTTGATAACGTGCGCGCTTTACTATCATCAATAAGTGAAGTTGTAACAACCTGCAGCAGGTCGCGGATGTATCACTTGCCTTTCTTTGTCCATTCGTAGTTTTACTTTGGGTATTGGTGATCGAGGGTTTTGTCAGTATTCAAGCAATTTTAAGAACATTTATTGTGGCGAGCATAGCTCTTTGGTAGCATGTTCGATTCACACGACAGGATCTTCAGATCAAATCCTGTCAATGACTTAGAATTTATGAAAAAAATATGTGTAGTTAATTTGAAATCAAATAAAAATTGTATTTGTTAAATAGAATTTGAGTAAAAATTAAGAAAAATGGGATTAAAAGAATTCGAATAGATGAATTGTGAATTAGGAGTGAGAAGAGGAATATTGGAACTTGAAAGAAGAATGAAGAAAAAAAAATGGAATGAAGCTGAAAGTTAAATAAAATTAGAAATTTGTAAAAGAGCAAGGAATTGAAGAATATAAGAAAAAGAAAAATTAAGAAGAATATAGAATGGGATACATAAATAGATTGAAAATGATATAAAAATTAGAATGTAAATAAATAAAAATGTTGTAGGTGGCTAAATGCTCAGAGTAAGCGAGGTCAAATAAAAATTAAAAAAAAGAACATTTATTTGTATATCTACAAATTCTTGATTAGGAGCTTAAATTTGATCAGAAATGAATTTATTGTCATTTATCTCTATACTAAATAATAATAAAAAAATGATCGAGCTAATATATACTTATACACACATATCATTATAATCTTATGGAAAATATTTTTTAAAAGATTTAGCAAAAATAATTCAATAAAGCAAGATATTTTGGAAATTAGCTTTACCACTCATTACGTGAAAAATCACCTTTTAAGCGTTAGTTTTTATCATTTACAATTTGTTTTCTTCGTTAAGCAAATTACTCATGGAGAGAAGTGTTAATTATAACATTTTATTATATTTCTAAAAAACTAAAAAAAAACGATAACTAAATTTTTGTATAAAACTAAAAGTGTTTAAAAAACTAAAAATTATGTTGAAAACATCAATTCCTAAATTGGCATTCATCATTCAAATTTATTCACAATCATTGGTTTAAAATACATTACTATAACAAAGTTCTCAATTAATGATTGGCATTCGATCTAGACATTTTTTAAGTTGGACCAAAAATTTGCTCATGTTAAAGATGAAATAATAATAATAAAAAATATATTTCGAAAGGTTATAGAAATTCCAAAAATATGAAAACGATGTTCAAATCATAAACGTTATTTACCCAATTATCATAAAAATAATAATAAGTGGTAGTCTGCCCGAAGACAGATCCATGGTATAAGGAGTCACTACAAAACCAATTATTCCCATTCTTTTCCTGGATAATTATCATATATTTATTGAAAAATATCTAATTTTTAGAATACAGAATGCTTAAGTATATAAAATATAGGATATAAACATAAAACTTAATAGTTTGTCTCTATATATATCTGCACCTACTCTAGGTTTGGATTCCATACTTGGAACATCAGCAAATTTTTGGTAGTACTTAGAATCTGAATCGAATGTCAATCCAGTGATTATGGAGTTATGGAGATAAGCTTGATAGTATTATCACTAAATATGTATTTCTCGTTATGATCCTATAATTATTTAAATTGTGTACTAAAAGGATACAACATGCCGTCCTCGTAATTGAATTTGAGTAAAAACGCTGAGTATAGATACAACACCTATTCTACAATACAAATCATATAAAATTTAAGTTATGCAAATCCTTCGTGGAGGAATTTTCAGATACAGATCTATTTCTATATTTTTTTATTCGAAAAAGGTTTAATGCAATAACTAACTAATAGCTGATAATTAATATCATATACATAATTGAAAGCAACATGTACACATTCGTTTTTCTTTTCAAATTAATGTTGTTCCAATTATAAACCTTTATTTAATCCTGATATGTATGAACGCGAAGATATATGTGATGTTATTAAATAAATCTATTATATTATAAATGTAGTTTTTAGCTCATATCTTATAGTACTCAAAGTTTTTAGTCATTTATATGACTTCTGCTATCCATGTTAGGCCATAAGTACAGTTTCGTAGTTGCATAATTATAACTCGGTTTATATATAACGTTGTAAAAGCAAACTTTACAAAACATTGTTTTATATTCCGTACACTACCGTTCAGTACTGTTAGCGACCTCTTTGGAGTACGATATCATCTTTGTTTTTTTATATTCGAAGACCCGAACAGTGGACGAGTTGACCCCTATATGAAAATGTCCCTTCCTATTGTTGTACTAATCCCAAGCAGGTGATTGAGCATAGTAAAACACTGAAACGCAATACAAGGAGAATTTAAAATACTTCAATGTTCACACAAAGTCTTGACCAAATTCAGAGATTTGTTAAATATTATAAAAGAATCATTTTAGTTTTTGATTAATTAACCTATGGAACAAATTTTTGTTTTGCATATAAAAAAAGGGGAACTAAACATCAGTAATTATAAATCTCTATCTGCAAATAAAAAACAAAATATGTTTAAACAATTTTTTTGGTATTATTGAATTATGTGACTTTTAGGTCACAGTGGTCAATATTTTTCGCACTTCTGTGTACAAATGTTATTTTGTACACAGAAGTTGTACACAAAAAATGTTATTTTAGGCTGAAAAGCTTGGCAAAGGTTAAAAATATTGATATGGGTGGTTTTAACGTTATAGAATTAAAATTTATGTATCACTAAGTAAGACTTAATTATTTGGTAAAATATCGAAAACATTTTAAATGTGGCTTGATTTAAAGATTAAAAAATTTGCTAGTAATATATTTCTAATATGAATTAAAGTATAAATTAGTTCTTGAAAAAATAAACAAAACTCGATAAAGTTGGTATTATATATTAGTCATTAAATTTATTGTTAATTATGGAACAAAATTTACTAATTAGTACTATTTACTTATTGTTAGTAGAAAAATAAATAGTTATAAACAATAAAACTGTTCATTCAATACCTAAACAATCTAAGTCGTACAATTATTTTAATATATGATTGTTTAAACAAAAGTTTAATTAAAAGTTTAATATGAATTTTGTGAATATGAGCACACTACATTCTATTATTGCTTTATTTTAGAGTGTAGTGGTTCATATTAGCAAAATTAATGTCCACCACCAATATTTCAAAAACAAGTACAGTTTTGAATATTTTAACAACAATATTTGAAAGTAGAGGGTAAAAGATGTATAACCAGCCATCTCCTTGACTCTTATCATGTCACTAACGGGAGATAAACGCAATGTTTGAAAATCCATAACAAAAGCATTTTCTTTCATTGTTAGTTTTTTTGGTTGTGAGCACTGTTGTTTAGTTTACGAGACTTTAATTCAATTTTTAAGTATAACTGTTTCATAAAAAGTATTGTTATGTTTAAGTTGAATTCAACAGTTTATATAACCTTTATAAAAGCTTACATGTGGGAGGGGTAAAAAGGACCATCTTTACCATAATAAGAAATAGTAGTTATGTCGAATTTTGACAAAAATGTTATAACTATCAAGTTAACTATTAGGTTGTCAAATATCTCCCTTCCGCTTTTTTGCTCTTGGTTTATAATACAAAAAGGCGGAAGGGAGATATTTGACAACCTTATATTTTTCTGAGTTATTAGTGGAAAACAAAAATATTATTTAAACAATTTAAAAAATTTATAAAATTTTCAAGGTGGCCACTAAAACTAAAAACATTATTTGAAAGCAGTGCATTTATCACAAAGATGTATCACATGTGTATTATCCTTTAGTGGATGTTCCTCATCCTGTCAACTGCAGCACGACACTGCTACCGAATCTGTTCGTTTGATATGATTCCAGTGTCTCTGTTGTATTTTTCATTCTGGCTCAGAAGTATAATCTGTTCATCTTTCCTTCCACAGCGTTCCCACCACGGCGACGAGCGTTGTGACCGCCAAAGCAGCGAACGCCAATGGTAGCTCAGGCTCTCCGCCCATCGACATCGCGACCGGCCTATCGACAAACGACATCCAAGGACTGCTTCTCGGATCGACCTCTTCATCAAGCGGAATCAAGCGCGAACCAGAAGATCTCAGTCATAAAAGACATACGAAGAATACAGCGGTGGGAAGACTTCAGCAGAAGGTAAGTGAGATGATGTAGTTTTGTACTGCTTACACATGTTGGGTTTAATAGTACTACCGAGACGTGGTATGGGATCCCCAGGTGAGACGAGGTGCGAATCGTTTCACCGGTTCTAGAGCTCTCACCGCGGGTTAGACAAAGTGCGAGCTAGTTTCCAACTTCCACTTCCAATCTACTATGTCTATTTCTGTTTGTCTATTCCTCCTGATCTACCGCGTTTACCCTTGTGTGGTAATATTTGTTGTTTGTTGTTACCCCTACCACCGCCGTAATGTTTTTCTGTAACCGCTGCTCATCGCCTGGTATGCGATCGGTGTCAGTTTGATTTGTTGCACGGGCTTTGATGTACCGCGCTTCATTCACACATGCATACACGCATCGTATGTTTTTATTTATTTTATTCGTAAATATAATTCGACAACCTAAATTTATTTCGTACGTGTGTTTGATTGTGCCCAGTGCATTCAAAGGATTATATAACTGACTGACTGAATTTTTTGTTCTTTTTACGGATCAACGTTGAAAAATTATAATATTTTTTGACGATGTTGGTCTGGTATATATTTTGCATGTGTTTGTTAAAAATGCACAATGTAGACTGTGATGTGAATATGTTTTGTGAATAACATGTGATTTGCTGGTAGAAACAATATTTATGTGTCGTGTTGAAAAACTTGGATTTTTATTTATTTATTACCATAGTAGTTTTATAAGTGTGCTACTGTGGACGTGATATCATTAAGTGATTTTTTGGTGACATAATTGTGAATTTGTTTTATTGTTTGGTTTCTTGGACGTTACAGTGTTTGTTTGACAATTGTGTGTAGTGTGTGTGGACGTGCCGTATCTTGATATCTGGATTTTAATTTTGGATTATTTAGAAACTGGTTAGTTCTTAGAATCAAATTACTTTTATCTGTTAAATCTGTGAAATCTAATATGACATTGCTTGTTATGCAGTGGACCTCCTCCGTAAATTTAAAATAATTAGCACGGACGGTTTATCTTAATTTCTAATCGTAAATAATAAAAACTAAGTGTGATGTGTAGGTGCCAATACAGGCAGATCAAATTTGTTCAGTATTGAAATTAATAATTCTATTTGAAAAAATATGAAGTGATCAAAAAATAATTTTAAATTAATATAATATTAAAATTTACATAATTTTTCTTATAATTGGTTTCTGTGACCAGTTTTTTAAACTATTTGCATTTCCAACAAAATTTTTAAATAAATAATAATAAATTATATTTGATTTTCAAATAATAAAGTATTTAATTTAATTTAATTACCACGATATATTTTACTATCAGATTGACACAATTACATATCATGCATAAAGTTTCTTAGAAATATTTAAGTTGCAAAGTGACAAAACTTAAATGCGAAATTAATTATTCAAATGCTTTTTATTGAGATTAAAAGTTTTCGATTCCCATAAAAAGAACTATAGGAACTTTCAGTTATGCATAAATAATGATAATTAACAGACACGAAATTAATTGCATAAGAAACATTTGCATATTAGAACAAAAAATCATTATAGAATTGTTGCAATGAAGCATTAATATAATTTTGCAAAAGCATTAATCTTTATTGATTGCATGCATATTTTGTTCAGGATTAACCTAATGTGATTATTAATTTTTTTTTATTATATTATATAACATATTATGCAAATACACAAATATGCAAAAATCTATCTAAACACTCCTTAATTATTTTATATGTGCCGGATTAATTGTTTTATAACTATCTATAAATGGATATAAATTGCATAAATGAGTTATTAAGAAAATAAGAATATGAAAATAATTTCAATCAAAATTAAATTTTAATATATAATTTAAAACCACGCTTGAATTAACCAACATTCCATAATGAACAAAATAATGTACATTTTTCAAAAAATTGACAAATTGTGATTGATTTTTTAATTAAAATATTGGTGCCAGTTTAAAAAAATATTATACTTAACTCAATGCTAGTCAAATTTGTTAAAGCTTATCTCGAATAAATTATTACAAGTAATGATAATGATAAAATAATGATAAAAATAATAAAAATGATAAAATAATATAAATAATAAATATAATTGAATATTTTTCGAACATCATAAATATTCATTTGCAAAAATGTCTACACTTATGAAATTAGTTAAATATAAAAATGAAATAAAAATGTGTCATTAATTGTTTAAGATTTATTGATAAATACTTTGAATACGATAATAAACCTTTTTGGTATCCTACAAAAATTCAAAAATTTCATTCATAAAAATACACGGTTTAAATTTAAGTAATACTGGAAAAAATACTAAATATAAAACTGGGAATAATTACTAAATTTTTGAGATATTAAAAAAATATTTTAGAAGAACGTATTTCTGGAAACAAACATTTATAACAAGTAGAGTTATTGATAATTTTAGCTTGAAGCTTTTATTTGAAATGTGATGCTTTTATAAAAATAAGTACCAAATTATAAGTCCATTTTTTAAAATAATAAGTTCTATATTAAAGTTGATCTCTATCGTTGTGTTTATTGGTTAATCTATAATAATTATGGATTGATAATAACAAAATGTATGGGTTTTTTAAATTGAATAAAGCTCTTTGTCAAACCGTTGACTAAAAATTAATATGTTAAAAATCAAATATCAGAAACATAAATGTGTACATTATTAATAATAGAAAGAGAACTATAATATTAACTATATCCAAATTATAACAATTTTAAAGTTGTTGCGAACATCGAATAGTCTGCATCAACTCTCATTCTAAAACACTTCATTTAGCTCCTAGTAATTATTTTTTTTTTTAATATATAAAAGTTTATATTAAACAAAATTAACAGAAAAGATTATAATAATAATTATGAATGATAATATATAAGCAATCATTTATAACATTATTATTTCGTCCTTATCAGATCCTTGTCGTGACATCAAGCAACGGTGCCCAGGACCTCGTGGTCGATGTAGAAGATCAGCAGCAAATTAAAGAGGAGTTGTCGAGGATTCATTCGCCTCCAACACCTGGATCGCCATCTCAACATCAACTTGTTCAACAGCAACATAACGCGAATAACGGCGACATCAAAGGATCCGCGATGTTTTCGACACAGGTTAGAAGAAAAGTTAAATGTTAAGATAGAACAATTTAAGTTAAACGTTTAGTAACTGTTATAAGTGAAAAAGTCATTATTTTATTCAGTGATATTATAAACTTTTGCAAACGATAGTGAAATGGTTTATTTAAGCGTAAGTACACTTTTAGATAGAATATTTTGTATTTATTCATTTTTATAAGTAATAATAATTTATCATGTCTGAAATAGATTTGCGCGGATTAAATGTATTGATCGCGGTGTTTAAGAGCTTTTTTTGATATTTTAATGAGTCCTTAAAATTGCTTCCATATAATAGTACGTACTGCAAATATTTTAATACTAACAGGAAAATATATGTACAATTTTAGACGTTAGATAGTTAATGCTGTATTTTGATTTCTGACATCTTGTATGGTCTTTTAGACCTTTTACCCTGTTGTGTTAACAAAATTTGTTCTATTTTTTTATCCTATATTCATAAAAATTTCATTTATTACATTAAATTATCTACAACTACTCCAATCACCATTACATAATACAAATTTACAAAACGATAAGCCAAGACCTCAGCGATTTTTAGTTCATTGGAAGCGCCAAAAGACGCCGCCAATTCTTTGATCGTGCTGAGGCCTTGGCGGAACACGTTTTTTGTCACATCATGAATTCCCCTTGCGACATAGCACAAATTTTTCGTCGTCAGTCCTGTTATTGATATCCTTCCATTTTCGGCAGTGTAGATGTGCTTTTCATTAATCAGGCGTTGCACATTTTCAGGATTCAACCCTGTATAGGAATAAAATCCAGTGTGTTTAGTAATATGACTCCAGTCACGGACACTTCCTTCTTTTCTTAGTTGGATTTGTAATTTTCTTCTCATTTCTATGAAAACATTTTATTTGATAATTGGTTCAATATTAGTTTATTGATGGACTTGGATTCTAATAAGATACCTTGTAGTCGTCCTGTTATCGTGCTGACATCTTTCTTCCACTGCTCAAATATATCTTTGTTGGTCAGTACTTCTCGAACAACATGCACACCGTTTGTTAAAGTATTTCCATAATATTCTTTGTTAATGCTATTTAGTTCTGCTGTAACTGCTTGATTGTCTTCGGGTGTTCCACCTGAAAATTGAATATTTTATCAGATAATTTATTAGCTCATAAAATTAGAGAAATTTCAAATATCAGTTTTATACTTATTATTTTAACTAGAATTTTATTAGCCAAATATTACAATCGTCGGTAGAATTTATTTAGTGGCTAAATATTTCAATGCGCCATAGAATTTAGCATTTCAAGTATCAACAAAATATTTTATGAAATGACGTTTTATTTGATCTATGAATTTTTGAAACTTTTAGACAATATAAATATTTTCGCCACTTACGTGTAGTAAAACAAACAGCTCCTGTTCGTTCACCATACAATCCCATAATTCTGGAAAAGCTCACCGAAAATGCGCATTCCAAACCTTAAATTTCAAATAGCACAATACAAATAATATATTTATTAATTGTTGTATGATAATTAAAAATATGATATAATCTACTGTAACATTTTCAACGATCAAACAGATCAGAAATATATAATAATTTGGTTCTTGGTCTGTTTGATGTTAAAAATAGCATACTTGCAAGTTAGCATAACTTGTAAATTATCATTGATAAATTAACGACTGATAATAATATTGAATATATAAAGTAAAAAAAACTCTTCACCTTGTTCTAAAATGTGTCTCAGTGGGAAAGCATCTCGTTCGGGATCTCCACTAGCCAAACCTTGAAACGCCACATTAAAGTAAGGAAAATGGCCTTTCTTTCGAATCATTTCGGTAATTTGGATCCATTCATCTTGCGTTGGATCTGCTCCTGTAGGATTGTGGCCACAAGAGTGCAAAAAAATTATCGAGTGCACCGGCAGGTTTTCAAAATCTGTGAGCACACCTAAAAAAAATGTTTAAACTTTGATTTTTAAAAATCTTATAAAAATATTAAATCTATAACAGCCTTCACGTTATGTATGAGTTGTAAATTTTTTTATGATAACTTGTTGTAGATTACCCTTGAGATTAAATGTAAAATTTTCCGTATTCAGATATTTGTAACTGCCCACATTTAATCCGGCATGTGTGAAAATAGTAGAATGGTTTTCCCAAATTGGTTCTGGTAGATAAATTGTTTTCGACGCAGGATAATGCCTTGATAGATATATCCCTGCTATATACATCGCATTAGCTCCGGACTGAACATCTACACTAACCAACTATAATAATGGAATATAATTCATTTAAATTAGATAAATAATTACGATTAGATTATTATTTCACCTCTTTATTCTGAACACGTTGGCTTTCTTTTCCAAACAGTAAATTTAGCACTACATCCCGATATTTGTCTTCATTATAGTCATGTTTCTGATTCATCAGAACTTCGCGAGCTTTCTGTACCGATGGCATTTCCCAATGATTACCGTCATCATCTTTGTACTCACTTGAAACCAAATCGACTTGATCGATAACCGGTGTTTTTTTACAAACTTTTTCTATGTTTAATATCGGATTATTCTTTCCGCAATATGGTAACTCCTTAGACCAAAGGCAGAAATTGCATTTAGCGCGATCGAAGATTTTCCTAGGTGCTAATATACGTTCAATTTTTGATAACATTTTAAATAATTTTAGAATTTTTTGATTGATTCGCCATGCTGATTACTTGATTTTAAAACAAAGTATATTTGACAGTTTATTTTATTAACTGTCATATAATAAAACAATTTTGAGGTTGCATTTATTTTATTAAAATGCATGTATGTGGCTTTTTATGATTTATGCCAAAAAGTGATAGCATGCAAAAAAATTATGTATTTTCATAAAAATATATAAGATAATTATTTTTATAGAAATATATAAAATATTTTGTAAATTTATTATTTATGATCCACATTTGAAATAACAACTTAACTTATTTAAATTTACTTACGTTACGAAATATGAACTCAACTAAGTAGAAACAATAATATATTTGTGGTTTAGTTGCACTTTTTGTAATTAATTACAAAAAAATTGATATTAAAGAAAGTAATATTCATGTGTGAAAAATAATTAACTTTAAAACTGTGAATTCACTGAATTATGTAGTTTCATTCAAAGTTATTTGTTTTGTATAAAACAGTGTATTTTTCTTCGCGATATGGTTTACGACCATATATGTCTCACTATTATTTAGCTGCGACATGAAATTATTTTCCGCATTGCTGTATTATTTGCAACGGAATGCAAATTATTAAATAATAAGTTCTGCTTATTTAGATTTTTAATTAGTTATAGCTGTTAAGACATTTAAAATATATGAATATTACCGTAATAAGAACTCGACATATATAGAAATGTATTTCAGAAAAGTGTCTTTAGGTTCAGGTTTTCCGTAATAATATTAACATATATTAACCTGAAAATAGAAGGCACTGATATTCTAATATATTTTATATTATTTTACACCGAGTTCACAGATTTGTTTTATTTTTCATGCAGATACGCGTTACACAATCAGTTACGTCCTTTTGCATGTATCATGCATTTGTAATTTGTATTGATTCGGACATAATCTTCTAAATTCTTTTAATTAATAAAATATAAATTTTGATGTTTCAGCAGGTATTTATGTCCGGCTCGCAGCATGGTTCTGGCACTCCCTCGCCAGTTCCTTATACGGATCAGTATGGTCAAACCATAGGCCAAAATTATGTCGCACAAATTCGTCCAGGAAGTTCTACTGCATTTGTCAGCGATGCCTATTATAGGTAAGAAAAAATTCATTCAATTAATATATTTAAATTATTTTTAAATTAATTTTTTATTGAATGGCATATTAATTTGTGTTTGTCTATTTCAACAGAGATTATTTCCCCGCCTCTGAACAATACTCATCATCATTACGCCAAGCAGCCACACAATACAGTGGCGGCGGTGGCGAGCCTTGTGGACCTGCTGAAGGTGGTGCCTTCCCAATTTCAGAACGTTACAGACAAGCTCCTTACAAAGGTGTTCTGGCTGGTGGTCTAACGGTAGACTTACCATCACCAGATAGTGGCATCGGAGCAGACGCTGCAACGCCAAGAGATCAAAACGCCATACAACAAGTAAGGGTAATAGATAGAGGATAACATTATTTTTAATCATACATTTGTGAATTGACCAAAATTAAGGGGCACAACTAGTGTAACTGCCTAAAAAAGGTGATTTTCGGGAATTTATATTAAAAAAACTACTTAATCAATGATTTCAACATTTTAGGAATATATTTATACATGTTTTAAGAATACATAGTAAAATTTTTGAAGAAAAAAATTAAATATTTTTTAAGTTATCGTCGATCTCCAACGGCGCGACAAAAAAAGGCTCTTCATTGCTGCAGTGATTCCGGCCTTCTACGTGGATGAAATTAAGAAAAAAAATAATCTCGTTAAACTAGATAATATTGGCTGCAAAATGAACTACGATAAAGAAAAAAATCAAAAATTAACAAAATTACAGCGTTTTTTTTTTAAAAAAAGTCGAATTTTACCCAAAATTTTGGTCGTTTTTGGACTGCCAAAATTCTATTTTTGATCCGATCAAAACTTTTACGGAGAACTATATATAGAACATGTAAAAAAAAAAATTGATAGTGATCGGATCATTCGTTTTTGAGTAATCGCTGCAGCAAATTCGGAAAATGCTGTTTCGAGAAAAACGCGTTTAAAGATAAAATTATCGTTATACTATATACTGTATATATACTCTTTAAATGGCTGTAACTCAAAAACTATTTAAGATATCGATTTAAAATTTTGGTATGTTATTTTTAAAGGTATAACCTATCGAAATATGGAAAATTGAAAATTCGATTTTTTGAAAATTTCACACTAGTTGTGCCCCTTAATAACAATAAATAAAAGATAAATGCTAAAATAATAATTATGTTATCCAATCTTAAATTAATTTTTATTAATTAATGTTTTCCATATTTTTGGATTTTCGATTCTATTTCATCATATTGCAATATATATGATAAATGAAACAAACTTGGTTTAATAGCATGTACGAATAATGTTATAATATATTTATATAATTATTAGTCGCTTTAATTAACGCTCAACAGAATCTTATGTTATGCATTTAAACATCTTACATACGCATTCACGTATCTCTATTTTTGCTATCTCTCATAATACTATATCAAGTTTTTCATAGGATTTTTATATCACTCAAATAAAAATTATTTTTATATTATATTTTTAAAATATTTTGATGATTTTGATATTAGTCTGTAATATATTCATTTAATAAAAATTTTGCACACTATTCTTCCATGAATCGAATTGGAGTTTTAACTCAGCTCACGGATCTGCCCTAGGGCCGCACTAGGGATTACTACCGATTATATTCATTTAAGACTTGTGAGGCATTTTTAATTTTTTCTACTATATATAACTAATTTATCTCTGTTTCTATTTCAGTCATTCGATTATACTGAACTATGTCAACCCGCCGGATTATTAGACGGTGTTGTTCCAGTTCACAGAGGTGGCGGTACTGGCCCGCATTCCCCTGGTGGCACTCCACTTCATGGCCAGGCGCCACTTGTTGCACAAGCGTCCCGCTCGCGACCATGGCACGACTTCGGAAGACAGAATGATGCTGATAAAATACAGATACCTAAAATGTAAGTCATTTTTTTATATTCTATCATCGATTCATTAAGTTTCACATATAAAACCTAACCTACAAAACGCACACTTGTCAAATAACAATTTTATCTCAAGTGCATCTTTTTGATGTGTCATTGATAACATATACATGAAGTTAAGTTTTATGTGTAAAACGCCTGATCGCACATCAAATACATAGCCTTTTCACAGTTTTTACTACCAATTCATACAACGATAGGATCGATAGCGTTATCATAACAGTTCTATTTTATCGGAGAATTATCCCCTAGTCTAAATATAATGAAATTTCAACGACCCCTTTCAAATGTATTTTTTTCATCGGGGCAGTATATTATTACGATCGATACCCAATACGGACGCTTGGGTACTACAAAGTGTCAATGAAAATTAATTTCTAACTATATTTACGATTGCCGGGTGTTGGGTTCGCGACAGGCGACGCAATAAGCGTTTAAGAATTTGCAATTTATCGGTAGAGCGCTGAGATATTGCAGGCGCTTACATGTGCAATAAGACGATAAGCATGTGTTTGAGAATGTATTTTCATGATATAGGAATTTCTTGAGCTAAGCAGAGGAGATAGTTTACCAAAAATTGCATTATACATTACAGAAATCATTGCAGAATTAGACAGCGTTCGATTTGCTGGATATATGCAATAATAATAAAAAAAAATAGTAATTTGTCCGAAGGCAGGTCTATGATGTGAGGGCCACCACAAATCAATTATTCAATTTCTCTTACTTCCTTAGCATTCCCTTTACCTTCGAACACTTTCTTAAACATTCTTATGTATTTTCTTTACACACTTCTGCTTTCATGTTTCATGATCTTACGCTTTGGCTTTCAGTTCCCCGTATTTTCTCTTCTTGCGTAAATAGTCAATCATCTGCATTCTTCTTCTTCCCTGCCTTTCTAGTCTACTTATTTTATCTTCTACGACGTCGCGTAAAAGGCAATTCTTTCTGCAGAATGGATCCGATTCAGATTCCTTTTCTTTTCAATGCCGTGCTCAGTATAGTCCTTTTTTGCTCACTTTTCTCAGAACTTCTTCATGTGTTACCTTGTCTTTAATAATAAACAATATTATGCATTATTACAATATATTTTCAAATTAATATGACCATTTATTATATCCATGTTGATAAAAAGTTCGGTCAGTCAATACCATACTAAGAAATTAATGGCATACAAAAAAAATTACAATATATATATATATATATATATATATATATATAAGAATAATATAAAATTTAGTAAACAATTGCAAATTTTTGTTGTACATTAAATATATTTAAAACGTAGAATATGCAGTCATGGTTGAGTTTCGGATCCAATATGATAGGAAAATAATAATTAGGATGCTATAATCGCCAATACGGAACTTGTCAGTATGATTCTGCTTGTCAAAATATTAGCTCAAACAAAAATGAGCATTAATTTACTTTTATACCACGCCTTGTATCTTTTGTCGAGAGAAATTTAAATTTTTTAATTAGTAAAAGTTTAAAACGGATATAATGAATGAAAAACTTTTGTGGCTTGCTTCGAATCTCTAAATTTGATCTTAATTATAATATATTTTTAATCGTATCCGATGCGTGCACGATTCCGATTAGGTGCAAATTGCTCAACTGCGAAATAAATTAATGAATGGCTAACATCTAACTCACTCCTTGGCTCTGCATGGGATTCTCCTAATGCACTCGCCGACCGCTGATATATTCACATGGGCAAATTACTACATATATGAATCTGTACACCCGTGTTCATATATTCTATTAAAATATGCATCCGATATGCATGCGAGAGGTGCAAAAGTTACGATCGGGAGAATTAAACAGATGTTATTGCTTTTCGTGTCTATTTATCGCCGAGAGAACACAAATTCAAATGTCCAGTAAGCCAAATGTGATAAGATTATTTGCTCATATTGAATTATTATATGCCGGTATGTTTAGAAAATATCTACTTATTTATCTGTTCCGTAATAGGCTTATGAATATTATAATCAGCCCAATCATTTTTTTTACCGTAGCGCCTACTTTCAAATTGTTTAACATATAAGATTTGCTACTTAGTAGCAGGTTGTGTATACGCACAACGTGCATAAATTATGGGAATAAAAATATCAATGAGTTTACTATATCTTACGGTATTTTCAATTACGCCTCATTTTCCTCTACTTTGCTCGCTTTTTTAGATTCAAATTGCTGAGCTTTATTTTAGCTTTTTATCATAATAGCTGTATGGCTATAGTTTTTTCAATACCTGCATCTATATAATGAGAGCTTCTTGAATTATATGATCCATTAAAATTTATTTTTAATCCAAATTTCAGTGGAAACACTTCAATTTCATTCATTTACTTTATTTACACTTAAAAAAGTAACTTTATCAAAATTAAATTCATATTTAAAATAAATAAAAATATCCGATCGGATTTTCAAAAATCAAACATATTTTTCTTGCTAATCCAATGCTTGAAAATCCGTTGACTTTTCACATTAGAATCAAAGCAGATTCTTTTAGGGTGCTTGGGTGAACACCTGTTAGATTCTAATGAACTTCTAATTCTTGTCTTATTCTAAAATTTTAATGTAAATATAAATAAAAAAAAAACAAACACAGTAAAATTAATGAATAATGATAGTATTAATTAGGTGTTACCGATGTGTCATTTTTTGACAAGTAGTATTTCAGCTGCCGCGTATCCGTTGTCAATTCTGTACCTAATTTGATTTTGATAAAATCCAAACTGCGAACAAGTAGCTTCCGGGTTTAGTAGTTTTTGTTGTAGCTTCACTTTTATCTTCGAGTTCGGGTTTGTCGAGTCAAACATCCCGCGGCGTTATCTCCGGCAGTCCGCATCAAAAGATTGATATTACTCCGTAACGGCGGACGCTGTATTATGAATGTCGTTTATGTCGCACCGTTTGCCAGTAGAGGAATAGATCGACAAATATTATATTAAAATTTTAGTAATTAATTTCTATTGAATTATTAGTCATTATATTATAATAATGTCGCAAAGCATAAAAGAAAAAGAATTAAAAAAGAAAAAAAAAAAAAATTAAAAAAATTATCCCTATTTCTTGGTGCATAGTAAAAGCTCGTTCAACTCTTGTGAAAGACAAATTGCTTATATAAAATATTATATATATATATACACCTAAGTCTGTTTTTACACGGAGATTGGTTTCAGAAAAAGCCGTGTAAAAAAAACGTGTAAAAAAAGACATGGATCTTATACAAAAATGGGTGATTTGTTCCTAATCTCTAAAACCTATTAAAATTAGTGAAAAACAAGAATTTTCAGGGTATTCCCCTAAATGAGTGCTGTTCATATTTGCTTTGACCAGTAAAAATTGTTTGTACGCGCTAAGGGGGAATTCATTTAAATCTTTAAGCTAGTGTTCGCAAACTATCGATACTATCGATGGTTTCAGAGTTTTTCCTTTCATAAATACTTTTTTGTGATATGAACATACTTCGCAAAAATTAAATTTGACAAAGAAAATTTAAGTACATAAAATTTCAAATCGTGCTAAATGGAATAAAATCGTGTAAAAAAATTAAAAATATTCAATTTTCAAACCGTGTTATATCAAAACCGTGTACAAAAAGACCGTGTAAAAACAGACTTAGGTGTATATATATATATATATATATATATATATATTGTTTACCCGCCGATAAATTGAACCAGGTTTCACTGAAGATAGTCTTGTGATATAATTGGTTCGTTCTTTGAACAATATAATTGCTCAAAGTCAATATGAACCTTCGTACCCCGCTCTATCCCTCATGAATATATTGAAATTTTAATTAAATTTTATAGTAGTAATTCAATGATCTTTTAACAATTATTAGAGCAAACTTTTTATCCCGATTCGGCACTGTTTCATTTATACCCATAGACAAAACTTAGCCGAGCGTCCATCAGGAGATCGAACGTGAATAATATCAGACGTGTGTATTTATGAGAGCTCATTACGTTTTATGACATGGACGTTTAATTAAATAAAGCGTGCAACGAGGGATTTATGTCTATAGGAGATCGGAATGTATAGGTTTTGTACAGTCGCCGTTCATGATGGATGAATATTATGCATATATTGACATCAATATAAGACTGCGTGCACGAAGATCCCATCTCGCACGCACGCGAAGGGAAAAATTTTATTTTAGATTTATGTCTTCGGCTATTTTCACTTGGAATTCTATCCTCACGGCTCACTAAATGCGTCTTACAAATAGCGGTCAGTACTTGTTACTTAGAAGATTTTCTAACTTAAAAACCATTTTTCTGAAGTTTTATCCTTACGTTTCTATGTTACCTGTCAGTTTTCCTTATCTTTTTATCAAACTAGTTCTCACCAACGTGTTGATAGACAACTCATCTTAGATAATTTTTATTACCGTCTCCTTTACACGCAAAATGTGAGTTTCTTCTTACTATGTGTTCTAGTAACCTCTACGTCGCTATTACGATTTAATTAAATATTAATTAGTTGCAGTTAAGCGCAGCATAATTAATTCTTTATTTTACGCACGCACGAACAAAAAAGATTTTTTGCGAAACGTTAGCAACATTGTATCCTAATGTCATATAAAAGCCGAGCAATTTCTACGAGAACGTTGAATGAAATGCGCGCCACTTCACAGTTAGTAAACACGCAGCTTAAAAGTTTGGTTTAATGGCTTTATTAAACAAATTTATGCTGGGGTATTTGGTTTTTGCCATAAAATTATATAACTAATACATCATTAAAATATAATAACGGCGTAAGGATTTTCTTCAATGTATTTAATCCTAATTAAAATGTTTGCAAAACGTATCATTATCTGGTCTAAAGAAGAAGGATATATGAAAATGATAGGGGTGTAATAATTTTCATAATATTTAATATACCTTATTATGAAATTAATTCTGTGCATGGTATAGATTCATGTAGTGTTTTTGCGACATAAGATCATAAACGCGTCTTTA